TGTTGGAGGATAGGGATTGGGCTTAGAGTGACCTAGACAAATTGGAAGTAAAAAACCTGATGAGGTTCAACAAGGACAAGTGCAGAATGTTGCACTGAGAAGGATCGCAAGCACTGCTACAGGCTGGTGACCAACAGGTTAAGCAGCAGTTCTGCAGAAAAGTACCTGGAGATTACAGTGGATGAGAAGCTGGATAGGAGTCAAAAGTGTGCCCTTGTAGCCATGAAGGCTAACGGCATATCTGGGTGCCTTAACAGAAGCATTGCGAGCAGATCTAGGGAAGTGATTATTCTCCTTATTCAGCACTGGTGAGGCACATTTGGAGTATTACCTCCAATTCTGGGCCCCTCGCTAAAGAAAGCATGTGGACGCACTGGACAAAGTGCAGTGGACAGCAACAGAAATTATTAGGGTGCTGGAACACACAATTTAGGAAGACAGGCTGAAGGATTTGGGCTTATTTAGTCAAGAGAAGAGTCAAGGGGATCTGATAACTGCCTTCAGCTACCTGAAGGAGGGTTCCCAAAGAGGATGGAGAGAGGCTGTTCTCAGTGGTGACAAATGACAGAAGGAGTAATGGTCTCAAGTTGGAGTTGGGGAAGTCTAGGTTGAATATTAGGAAAGACTGTTTTACTAGAAGGGTGGTGAAGCACTGGAAGGGGTTATCTAGGGAAACAGTGGAATCTCCATCCATAGAGGTTTTTAAGTCTTGTCTTGACAGAGCCCCCACTGGGATGATTTAGTTGGGATTGGTCCTGCTTTCAGCAGGGGATTGGATTCCAAGACCTCCTGAGGTCTCTTCCAACCCTATCATTTTATGATTCTTAGTGGCCATTCTTTGGCAGGAAGAAAGGTCTGAGCAAAAACTTTACATGTTGGAGACTGAGTTGGTGTCACATTCTCAGAGTGGAGGGGAAAGTATTAAAATGAGACGAGGACACAAATCACGTCTCTCCTAATCTCTCCTCACATAGGCTGTCTACACTACGAGTTTCCTCAGCAAAAAATATGTATAGGAACTCATTTGCATGAGTCACGATCTCATTTGCATATTTTCTGCCAATCCTTTGTGCTGGGGTTTTTGTGCAAAAACAAGCAATGTGGACGTTTTCTTTTTGCACAAAACCCCCTTTTCCTGCAAGATCCTTATGCCCCAAAAAAGGTTTAGCTATCTTGCGGGAAAAGGGGGTTTTGCACAAAAAATAAATGTCCACACTGCTTGTTTTTGCACAAAACATGCAAATGAGATCATGACTCATGCAAATGAGTCCCTCATTAACATTTTTTGCAGAGAAATCTCGTAGTGTAGACAGATATAGTCTACAAGGTTTGGAAAGACAAAGAACAATCATTGAACTTTGCCTGTGGTCCTGGGTGAGAGATCCAGCCAGGCTTTTGTGAGAAACGTCTTTTTTCAAGTTCATGCACTTGTTAAGTTGGGTATTAGTTTATGTTTTACTTTTTTTTTTGCACACAGACAAGAATGCCTTCTCATGATCATCCTGCCTTACTAATTACTACTCTCGTTTAAACATCATCCAAAACAATAGCTCTAAATACCAGCTTCTACCCTCATTCGTACCGAATAACATCACTGGAAGCTATGGAATTGTACAAAGATAAACGAGGGAGACTGTGGACCTAAAGATAGAATATCAGAAACAATGCTGAAGATGTATTATTTTAGTTACAAAACTAAGCAAATCTCTCTGAATACATATGGAGCAGAGATTTGTAGTGCAAGAAGAGGCCATTTTTTCCAGAGGCACAGTGAAGAGCTGATAAGGTGAGTGTAATACAGTAACTTCAATTATAGTAGGGAGCTCTGAATGTATTTGACAACAAATTAGATGTCATGTTAGCTGAATAAAAGCTAAACTTTAAACACAGCTCCTTTAGTAACAAAGTAATAGTTTCATCATTAAGACAGAAGTTGCTGGAAAAAAAGCTTAAAATTACTAAGGCAGGAAAAAAGTATTCAGAAAAAAGTATTCACCCTTATTAAAGTACTATACAACTACAATGATGAACATTCTTCAGTGACAAAAAACTTCATACTATGGTTCAGGTTTGTCAGTCAGAATAATCATGGAGGTCATCCAAAGGTGGACAACGGATTTAGGAGAGAAAAATCAGGGAAAATAAACAGGAGATGAACTTCTGCGACCTGCAGGACTTACTTCTTGAATATGAAAGGTTCTCAACAATAAAAAAAAAATAAAAAAATAAATTTAGACCATAACAAACAAATAGCCAGAACTAAAGAAAGGTTTTGTTTAGAAACATACACTAGGATTTGTATATATTTGTATGGCTGACTATCTCTATTTGTGGTCTTAGATAGCAAGTTAGCAAAGAAATTTAACAGTGTCATTTTAATTAGATTTTCTTAATACACAAGTACATTAGGATTAATACATGAGTACTCCAGAGTCTTAGTGGATGACCAACCAACCATAAGCTCCATGTGTGATGCTGTGGATAAGAAGGCTAGTGCAATACTTGGCTGCATATACTGGGGAACGTTAAGAGAGTCCCAAATTAGAGAGGTGCAACCTGTTGTAAGCTGTATTTTCATCTATAAGGGCTAGAAGTAAAATTTTAAATGAAAGATCAAATTCTGTAGATAGTGATCGTTTAGGCCTTGTTCCAGTTGCTAAGGTAAGTGTCCTACTTCCCAACAAGTAGAGTTTTCAAGAAAGTTAAGTGGATTATTTTCTGATTTTTTATATATATATATATATATATATATATACACACACACACACACACACACACACACACATATATACATATATATAAAAAAAAAATCAGAATTGATAGATTCTACAGTTAAAATGTAGCTATTACTGATGATGGACAGGAACGAAAGAAAAATACCATCTTGGCTTTCAGATCCCAGCCTGGCTAAGTGTGCAGGGCTTGCAACTTAAAAAAAAAATCTATTTATATCTCATTTGTGTATCAAATATGCTGCATTTATAAAGTCCATCTTTCTAAAAGTTTGTACAGAGATAACTTACAACAGCTTCCTCCAACACAATCAAGTAATTAGATTAAAGAGCACCTTTTCTTAACTCATTTTTAAAAAACATAACTTGACATTAACAGTGTCACTTTTGGGTATAATATGTTTTTCCACACATAGGCACAATGAGTACATGGACATTGGTCATTAAAAACATGACACAAGGCAGGTAAAGTAACTTTTTTTAACTAACTTCTGTTGGTGAAAGACATGCTTTCAAGCTCAACAGAGCACTTCACCCATGGGAAAATAGTTCTATTTAGTCATGAACTCTTAATTTTATTTTTACTCATTAATGTGTTACAATTGTTGGCTCTGATTCTGCATACTGTTTTACATGGGCAAATCCTGAACCTGCACACAGGATGGTACTCCATGGAAGTATGAGTACTTAATGAATATCTTGAATTTCACTGTGACCAAGAAGGGTATGGTTGGTGGTTAGTTCCCATATCACCTTTTGACTAAAAGGTCCAAAACCATGATCTCATACGTTTCAATTTATCTAAACAAACGTACCTCACCTTCCTCCACTCTTACATCCATAAAGAATAGGTGGCCTGTTGTCACAATTAAAAAATATTTAATTGGTGTCCAATAAGCTAACCATTAGAGCTTTGTAAATCCACATATATCCACTGCTTGTTTTTGCAGAATTTTGTATCCATGCAGGGCTATATATACACACAGGTGCATATGGGGATTTCTGTGGCTCATTTTTTGTGCATGCAGATACAAATTTTGAATCCATGCAGGGCTCTAACAACAACTCTCTCATGTGATCAGCTATCTTTCATTGACAGTCAGCTTCCTAATGTTCACTCACGTGATACTATATCAATGGCTGTGGTGTGTGCTTCATGATTTGGCATTTCCCTGATTGGACTCAAAGATGCAAGAGTAGCCCCGCCCGATGTTAATAGACTGTATTTACTGAATACTAAATATACCAGAACAGAATTTTGAACAGAATCCTCCCCTCCTTCCTCCAACCCTCACTGCAGAATCACTAGCATCCAGCTCCAAGCAGTGTGTGGATGAGATCACAAAATATGGCTCATCCATACAACTGTCATCTGCTTCTCAGTGGAGTCAGCTTCCTCTTCCACAGAATGCTTTACATTTGAAAAGCGCCATCAGCTTTGTGTTACATTAGTAACCCATTCATTTCCACCCCAACATTTTTTTTTTTTTAAAGAAAAAGCAAATTATTTTACCTTTGCCAAATAAACATTTGCAAGAACCCATGTACATCATATACTAGGGAAGATTTTTTTAATTAGACAAACCTTATTAAAATACTCCAGATAAAAAGCAGACGGGGAGGGGAGGGGGAAGGAAGGAGACAAATAAGAGGGGAAATAATGGGGTCTCCCGTTTCCTTTTCCAGACACGTTAAAGGCAGAGTTTCATTCTTCTAATTATGGAGGGTGAAGAGGCCGCGGGACTCCAACTATGGGGGAGTTTCGTGACGGGGGAGGATTAGATTTTTTTTTTTTTAAAGACTCAATGCAACAACAAAATCCGTCGGCGGGTGAAGAGAAACTCAAAAATAAAAAGCTCCAGGCAACAGATCACAAGCCCACGCCGCAAGAGACTCCGTCCCAGGTGAATGAGGACGGGGAAGAGGCGACTGTATCGGCGGGGAGAGCTGGGGCTGAATAGGGGAGTCTCCCTCCCACTCCGCGGGGCATGTCTGTGTCGGGGAGGGAGACGCAGAGGAAGAAACAGATTTAGCGTCTCCATCTGCATCCCGCGTGGGCCGGCGGCTCGGGCACGCCCGGCGGCAGCGCAGGCTAACGGGCGGGGAGCAGCCAGCAGTCGGGGAGGGGTCGCTTGGAGGCACTCGGCGGCCATGGACGCGCACAGCAAGGGAGGGGGAGCGTTGCCCCTGCAGGCACGGACGGTGCAGCCCCCCCCCAAGCTCTGACCGGGAGAGGCGGCGGGGGGGGGGGGAAGCAGCATCACTTACCCCCCCGAAGGAGACTCTCTGGGCAGGGGTGTCCCTAGCACCGCTGTTCACTGACCCGCCATCTCCTCGTCGCCAGGGGGCGAAGCGCAGCGGGTCCGTTTGTCCCTGCGGCTCTTAAGCTAGCAACCGCTCTAACGTTATTCCCGGCACATCGCGGCTAACGGCACAGAGCGGGGCGCGGGCACTGCGCAAGCGCCGCCCTAACACACACATCTATATACACAGACACACACAATGCGCGAGGGGGTGGGGAAAAAGAGAATGAACGGAGCCGAGTTCCGAGAATGACTGCGCAGGCGCTGCGGCGATGGAGGGCTCCTCTGTGAATTCTCATTGCGCTTGCGCCAGCTCCAGACAATGGAGTCGCAAACTCCCCTCGGGAGCGAGCGCACATTCCGCGTACGCCCCGGGGCAATACGTGAAAGGGGAAAGAAAACATGGATTCCTTTTGCCCGGGATTACTGCGCGTGCGCTGCGTCCGGGCGCTGCGGGGAAAGAAAGCTGTTCTCTAGCAGCACAGTGCGCAGGTGCGATCTGACCGCATACAAAGGGAACTCAAGTGGGGGAGGACGTTGCTCGTAGGGACTTCAACTCCCGAGGGCCCAGAGAAGGACGCGCGCTGCATGCTGGGAGACGTAGTCTGAGACCGCTGCAACGTGAGTACGAGACGTATTAAAGGGCGGGGCTCTGAAAGGGAGTAACTCACCTCAGCTGGGGGCCGACGGGACCGTTTTCCTAGTTGGTTAGCAACGAGCTCAAGTGGGGGAGGACGTTGCTCGTAGGGACTTCAACTCCCGAGGGCCCAGAGAAGGACGCGCGCTGCATGCTGGGAGACGTAGTCTGAGACCGCTGCAACGTGAGTACGAGACGTATTAAAGGGCGGGGCTCTGAAAGGGAGTAACTCACCTCAGCTGGGGGCCGACGGGACCGTTTTCCTAGTTGGTTAGCAACGAGCTCCCACACGGGTTGAGGTTAGAAGGGGCGGTGGGTGCCGCAAAGCCGTGTGGGAATCGTAGTTCCGCTAAGAGCTGCCGCCCGCTGTGGGGGATGGGACGGCGAACGACACGGAACTACGGCTCCCGAGCGCTGTTGGAAGCGGCGAAGCCGGGAGGGAAAGGCTGGGTCCTCACACGCTGACTCGGGACAGGGAAGCGGAGCCCGTGCGGCGTCGCCTGGCGCTGAGAGACGCGGACCTTGTCCGTATGCGGGAAGCCCGGGAAGAGTCCGACCTGGAGCGGTATCAGAAAAGCCTGCGAGGTGAGCGGGATCCCCGTCCCAGCGCCGCCTGCCCCCTTCTTCTGGCAGTGCCTGCTCCCCGCGAGCTGAGTGGTTTCTCGCCGTGCCCACTGTCCCCCACTACTGGCTGCCCCAGCTCCTCTCGTCGCACGGCCCGCCTGGCTGCTGGCACCGTGGCCACTAGTGTGCGGGCGACCCCTTTTCTTGCCGCTGCCCCCCCGCCACAATTGGCTACGTGGCTTCTTTGCCTGAGGCTGCGCCGTTTTCTCCACCTCTCTGCTCACCACGTCTGCTAAAAATTGAACTGGAGAAGGGTAGACTGGTGCCGACACCCCTTTATACTGTTCTAACCATCCCAGCCTGTTGAGCCAAGTGAACCAGATTATGATCTCCCCGGTGACTGAACCCATTGCTGTCAGAACTCTACCCACCCTGTGCCCCTAGCACCAAACTTCCACCCCGGTCCCCCTCACTCTCTAATTTTGGCAAAGAGAGCTCTAAATCAGCTGTTTACCTGACAGCTTCCCCCCTGGAGGGGGGAAGAGGAGAGAGAATGAAGGGAAGGGAACCTAGAGGGGCAGGAAGAGGGTATGTGGGGGCTCCCCATGTAGCCTTGCCCCATGTAGCCATTACAATTTTGGGCATCTTCAAAGCACTTCCTGTGGCTTTTCCTTTTCCCTTCCCTCCCTCCCCCCCACTATAGAAGCTCTAGTAGCACCAAACCCCAGACCAACGTCATAGTTGACAGTAAATTCACCAGTGCATTTGCTCTCACTTGCTAAGGAGCCTTGACAACCTGAGCATCTGCACTGTATGAGGCACAGAGTCACTGCAATATGACCCAGCTTCAAAGCACTTCCTGTGGCTTTTCCTTTTCCCTTCCCTCCCTCCCCCCCACTATAGAAGCTCTAGTAGCACCAAACCCCAGACCAACGTCATAGTTGACAGTAAATTCACCAGTGCATTTGCTCTCACTTGCTAAGGAGCCTTGACAACCTGAGCATCTGCACTGTATGAGGCACAGAGTCACTGCAATATGACCCAGCTGTAGCCGAGGACCCCATTTTAATAGGGTCTCCATGCTGGCATTCAACATGTTGGGACTCAGGGCTGAAGCTAAGCCTGAGCCCCCTGCCCAGAGCTGAAACTTTTGGAGAAGCCCCTGTCCGTGGCAGTCCCCCCACAACCACAGTGGGTCCGGAGCAGCCCACTATTCCAGCCCCACCAGTTAACTGGTTAAGCCTAGACATGTCAATGAGTAGTTGACTATAGAATTAATTGATAAGCCTAGGCTTTTCAGTTCATCTTGACTACTCACATTCTCTCCCTCCCTCCCCCACTGCCTCTATCACAGGCAGCTGGGGTGGAGAGCTAGCTTGAAAGCCAGTCCCACCCTCCAGCACCAGCTCTGCGGTGCCACCTTCCCCTTACCACTCCCCCTCCCCCATGTGCTGCTGCCTGAGAGACAGCGGCATAAGGGAATAGGGGAGGCTGCTGTGAAGGAGCCCCTGTCCACAGGGGGATGGAGGCTGCTCTGCATTCCGCGAAGCAGCTTCTGTCTGCGGCGGCCCAGGCTGGCTGTGGACAGAGGCTGCTTTATGGCAGCAGCCGACCAGCCTCTGGCCAGCTCAGACTGCCACAGACAAGTTGCTTCATGGTAGCCTCCTTTTCCTTTCCTAGCCTCTCTTCTCCCCCTCCCCCCTGCAGCAGCCTCTGTCCACTGGGAGGTTGGACCCCCGAAGTCAGGGACTACTGCTGTGTTATCCTACACTACTGCCTTTGATACGGAGGCAGCAGCGCATGGTGGCAGGGGGCTCCCAGGAGCACCGACTGCCACCCCTCAGGACTATAGAATAGATCTAACCAAAAAGTTTATGCTGTTACACAGCTATTCAATTACCCAATATCTAACCTCCCTTGTTAAACCTTCACATAACCCAGCTTGTGAGCTGTGACTGAGCAGGGCTGCCTGCCTGCCAGCCCAGCGCCTAATACATTTTAAACACAGAGCTGCAGTGAGGTAGGTCCCAGACACTGCAAGCTGGGACTGAGCACGGCTGCTGCCCAGCCCACTAAAAAAAAAAAAAAAAAAAAAAAAAAAAAAGTACTGGCAGAAGGGGGAGGTAGGGGAAGTGCATGTAATCCATAGCATTAACCAATGAGCTTTTGCTTATCGGTTAATTACACCATTACTTCCCTAGTCGCACTTTTTTGGGCCTACCTGCTGGAACCCACAGCATCGCCTCTTGATATGCGTGGTAGGCATGGATCCTCAAGTTGGTAGGGAAAATAAGGAGAGAATGTGGAAACGGTTTGTGGTCCCACCCATGGATTTAAGGCGCTCACTCAGGAGAGGCTGGCACTTGCCCCAGCAGCAGCAACTAGGGTCTGGTGGTGCTGAAACGAACCCTGTGGTAGGGTCAGTCCTACTTCGGGCTCCCAGGCCCCTGTTCTGCCCATTATCCTACAGTTTAGTGGACATGGTACAAGTCCCACTTGCCTTTTCTGAGCATTTGGCCTTCTGTCCCTTGGCAAAACAAAGGGGTGTTGAGGCCGATGCCCTCAGCCAGTCAGGCTGAGTAAACAGTCCTCCTCAGCCACCAACTGAAGTTTCTGGCCATCTAGAAGGAAGGAAGCTTCCAAACACTCCCTGTTGGAGCCTGCCACCTCCTCCTGCAGCCCTTAGCAGTGTTGATGGTGTTCTGCTCAGCTCCTCTGATTTGCCTATCAGCTGTTAGCTCCTTTCCACCTCCACTCTCCAAACTTTTTCTCCACTCTCTTCCACCCTCCCTCACAGAAAAGGTTTTTAAAGAGGTCCTGTGGCAGCCTGAAATCAGTTCACCTGCCCCTTAATTGATTTAGAGCAGCCCTGTCTCAGCTGCCCCTGATTATCCAGGGCTGTTGCTTATTTCCCCCCCCCCCCCAGCTGCCTCTCCCCCCTTCCATCAAGCCCTTGTACAAACATAGGCAGCAGCATGGGGTGGCAGCCCAGGGAGTGGGGCTAGAACACACTGGCTGCTGGCACTGCCCCTGGAACTATAGGATAGTTGACTAAGACTTCATGGGGTTAGTCAACTATTCTGTTACCTGCTATCTAACATCCCTGGTACTGGGCCCTCTTTCTCCACTGTATGAATGTGCTTGTACTGGTAAAGCTTACTGCCATATGGGAAGGCAATTAAGCTAAAATGGTATAAGGTACAGTAAAACTCCAGGGCTATGTCTACACTGGCCCCTTTTCCGGAAGGGGCATGTTAATTTCAGCTATCGTAATAGGGAAATCCGCGGGGGATTTAAATATCCCCCCGTGGCATTTAAATAAAAATGTCCGCCGCTTTTTTCTGGCTTTTAGAAAAGCCGGAAAAGAGCGTCTACACTGGCCCCGATCCTCCGGAAAAAAAGCCCTTTTCCGGAGGATCTTATTCCTACTTTGAAGTAGGAATAAGATCCTCCGGA